GGGGGGGGGGGGGAAGAGAGCAAATACTTCTGCTGCTCATGATGCTCATAGGTCTCCCTCAAGCAGGTTTCTGTTTTTGGAACCCAGTTCCTAAAATTCTGCCTGAATATTTCTTGAAGAATTCAGGGAGTTGCAGTCCAATTCTGGGAGGTGCTGACTAGAGAATTCACACAGTCTACATGTTTCTTACTTTTTAGACATTCAGTAAAGGTAGTACTCAAGCCAGAACTTTGCTTCTAACACATTGTTCAATAAGACCATGAATTTTCAGGCTGCATGTGCACTTATATCAAAACAACTACCTTCTAAATCCCAATGCTACTGTGCAGTGTGTTTTTTAAAGAAGAGTTTGTAATATTTCACAAAAATTGCTCTGTCAAGGAAATATAGACTTTTTCTATATTTATACCAATATTAAACATTGACCAAAGGGTCTGAGATCAAGTCAGTGAAAAAAATTATTTGTAAGGGAAGGGGACTTCTGCTGCAGAGCTATTTAAACTCAAAGGAAGAAGCAACAAAGTACAATATATTCAAAAGTAAGCCTGCTGTATTGTACTTAATGACGGTAAAGAATGTAACAGCAGAATTTGAACAGAAGAGCCCTTTTTATTTCTCTGGTAAATCTAAAACGCTTCACACCTCATTGGCAATTGCTGTAGCTTCTTTTCAGATTTTTTGGGTTGAAATAGTAGTGGAACAAATTCAATAAGGTCTGCAGCCCCAGCTAACAATTTATTCCTTGAATATAGTCAATGTATTTTAAGAATGCCTGCATGATTAATTGACTGATTGCATTTTTAAATTCTCTCCAAACCTCAATATCATGAAAGGGAAAGCAGAAATGGCCTGTCAGCAATATTTCCTTTACATTGTTCATACATTCTGTTCATTTCCAGGGCTGATGTGGACTTTGGTGGGTCCAGGGGGTGGAAAATAGATCCTGGTCACTCCAAAGTTATCCACTCTGGGTCTGCAGCATAGCGCAGACCACATGCAAAATTTCCAGAAGCAAAAGAATTATTGCATTCGCTATGAGTACTTACCCATAGCAGTTAACTATTTTGAACAGGGGTGGACTTGAGATCCACTTCCCAGTGTCTCTTACTTTTAGCTCCGCTGTCTAGGACGTACGGGAATTGCAGGTCAACAACATCTGAAGGGTCACAAGATGCCCATCTGTAATGTTTCATAGGTGAAAACAAAATAAAAATAGGGTTTTTTTAAAAAAAAGACAAAAATCTGGGGGCACTTTGAAACAAACACACACACACACACACAAATTGTGTTCTTCCAGTAGGGAAAAACTCACACACACACACACACACACAAAAATTGTGTTCTTCCAGTAGGGAAAAATTGAGATTGAAGTTGCTTTCAAGCTCCCTGCCAGAAATAGCTGGTCTTTAGCACTCCGAAAATCTACCTGGGCCTATACCTGTGGTCCCAGCTGTTAGATGGTGCTAGAAAATTGCAGGAGTAGCACCTGTTTGTATATATTTGATTTTCAGCTCAGCTAGAGATAAACACATGGAAGTGTACTTCTGTGTATATATGGCCCTACATGGATTTGGGTGATTTCACAAGACCAGCAAACAGCCAGAGACAAGGGAACCCAGATACTTCCTAAACATTCAAAGGGTGATGGGCAATGTTTCCTCAGAGCTGTGCAGGTGCTCAGTTGCACAGCACTGTATTGGTGCCTGTGAAGGAAGAACTGGAAGTGCGCCGTCCTCAGCGATGAGAGAAGCGACAGAGGAGAGTGGGTGTAGAGAGGGGATACTAGTAGAGATAGAGCAGGCTGAGCCGATTGTGTCAAAACCGGAGGAAGTGTGCCTAGTGAATGAAGAGGGGGAGGAGCTAGATCTCATCGTGTGGGAGGAGATAAAAGGGACAGAGAGCGCGTGCGTTTTCAATCTTTGGACGGATGTCCACCCTGAGAGGACCAGAGACCGGGGGGTCCAGACAGAGCCCATGCTCGGGACTGGAACCACGCCACATCTTGCAGAAGGTTTTCCCAACTTAGTGACTGGAGGAGGTTTGCTTCCAGATCCTGTTACACCGGGGGTACGAGGGAAGTGGATAGAACCGCTAGAATGGACTGTGTCTGTCTATCCCCGTAACCTACCAGGAGGGGGACGGAGAGTGATTCGGCCCGGTCCGGAATTCCAGAAGGAGCCTCCCGAAGGGGACTGGGCTAGGCATCCATGTTGTGGCACGGTTTGTGCAGTGAGGAGTGCCCCCCTCCGTCCCATGACAGATCGAGAGAAGTTTGGGCCGGCGCCCTTTTAGGGCAAGCAACTGGTGGGGGGGGCGCTAAGCCCAAGCGTTACCATTTGTTAAACGAGAGTTATTTGCAGGACCCATTTGATCCTGTGGAATTAAGTTGTACAACCAATAAACTTGTTGATATTGAAACAGATGAAGGGCCTCCTTGTCTCTTTCCCGCTTTTATCACGATGGCTCCCCCGGGCACAGAAGAACTCTGTTACAGTGCCATGCACCCAAAGTTAGTGTCACTGGTCATTTGGTTCCAGTCATGGCTGGAATTTTGCATGTTTGTAGTAGGGTTTCCGCTCAGTGCTGGTGGGATATTGGACGGAATGTTGGTGATGGGGATCTGTCACCGTCACTCTCACGGGATTTCCAGATGTTAATGTAACTCGGCCGTGACTAGGAAAAAGTCATGGTAAATGACTCTGAGCTCACTGCTAAAACAAATATATTACTTCTGAAAAGCAAGTATGCTAGTCCTGTATTTGCACAGGGTTTTTTTCCCCCTGTGGAACAAGCTGGTAACATTGGATTAACTTCTGTATCTCTAAATTGACGCCAATCACCAATGCTGTATGTAGGAAACAACAGTCTTCTAGAAATAGGCATTTCTGACCCATTTATGAAATCTCAGTGACAAGTCTCCCAGTTGGCTGTAAAGATTAGGGCCCAGGCTCTTCATTCGATGCAGTTCTTCTCCCCTTTATATCTTGGGAAAATGAAACATTTCAAATGGAGAAAGCTTTTAAGGTGACTTGTTTTCTTTTTCATAGTTTTCCTCCAGACACTGCACTGAATCAACAACCATGCTATATTATCATCAGAGTCCCATTACAGAAAATGAAAAACTGGGTGTTAGTTCTCCCACTGTCCCCATCATTGTTCCTTTTGCTGTACTGTATTTCAGTTGTGACACCATTAAGCAAAGGAAGATAGAAGAATAAAGGGGAAAAAAACCTACACCAGTGAGAGAAAAACTGGTTTTGCCACCAGATTTGTTTCTGGATGCATTGTTCCACTTGGATCACTTTCATAGCTGCTTGTGGGGGGTAAAGTGAATTTCATTTCCAAAAGTACCTAAACAGTGCTCCCTAAAACTCGTCTATGCACAGTTGTCTAAGACTTGCTCACATTTTACTGCAGATGTAGTTTTTGCTGCTCTAGATAATGGACACAGCATCAGTAAGTCACTGAGTTGTTCTCCTTTCTCCCCCTTTGGGGGGTTCACTTGATTTTAGAGGGCCATTTCAAACAAATTGCATAACAGGGAGAAGAGGAGCAATGTGAAATGATTGTACTGTTTCACAAGATTAGAAGCCAGCTTTCAACACTGCTAGCAGGGTTAGTTCCTTTTTATTCTTCTTAAAGCAATATTTTTAGGGAAGGATGGTTTCTTAGCTTTTTGCTTTGTTTTCCTGTTGATTCTGTCAACAGCTTTACATGGTTCTGCATCATTAGTGAAGGGCAGCCCTCTACCATCTTTCCTTCTGAAAGCGCCTTTGAGAAAGATGTTCTCATGCATCTAACAGTGTTTCCCTATGTTGGATTCCCAGACATAAATTGCTAATGGCCATAGCCTACAATTAGGGATGATGATTGGAAAGAAAAATATGGAAGCCATGACCTTGTTGAGAAACAGCTAAGACAATTGCTTTGTGTTGGGGTAAGAAGTGATTAGCTGGTGAATAAGAAGTCAGGCCCTGGGAGTTTCCTTGCTTGGTGTCCGTTTGTAAATTATAGGGAGCATGTGATGTTCTGTAGACCATCTCTATTGCTGACATTGATGCCTAGCATCTTTTATATTGCTGGCAGTGCAAGCATGATAATTGCAATGCCAGGCTGTTTCCTGGCATGTTGAATAATGGCTCCAGAAGCAATATCCCACATTTATAAACCAGAGGTTTTTTTTTTTTTTTGAGGGATTGAATATCTGTTATAACTTCAGCTCAGCTCCACACCTTCAGTGATGTTTCTGACATTTTGCCTTTTTTTTACAAATATATCAGTTAACTGAATACAATTTATAATGAGTCACAAATGCAGTTTGAGACAGCTAATTGAAGCAACTAATTAATCACCAGAAAGAAATATGTGAGAAGGGTGGTATAATAATTCCCAAGTTGAGACAAGCACAAGGCAATTTTATCTTTACATCTTCTCAGTAACTTGTTACCTAAATAAATAAATAAATAAATAAATAAATAAATAAATAAATAAATAAATGCCACTGTTAATGTCTTAGAAAATTGCTGAAACTCCTGAGGCTATTCATATAAAACTCTAAAATTTTCATATGAAGAATATTTTGCATTCCACTAAATGAAACTTAAGAAATGTAACACCCATTCTGTAGTATTTAGTACTTATGTACTGCTCTCAGAATGTAACACGGAACCAATGGTGCATCTTATCTCTATTCTCAACTTCTTCTAGAAAGGTCTAACCAACATGGCATGGCATCTGCCTCTATTATTCCAGCATGGCCACCTTTACCTTGGTAGCTCTGTGTTTCTCTCTGCTTCTTGCCTGTGTGTTTGCTTCATCGAGCCTCGTAGCGCAGTGGTTAAACCGCTGTACTGCAGCCAAAACTGTGCTCACGACCTGGGGTTCAATCCCAGGTAGCCGGCTCAAGGTTGACTTAGCCTTCTGTCCTTCCGAGGTTGGTAAAATGAGTACCCAACTTGCTGGGGGGGGGGTCAATGTGTAGTCTTCATAATTAACTTGTAAACTGCCCAGAGAGGGCCTGAAGGGCTATGGGGCGGTATACAAGCAGCATGCTTTGCTTTGCTTTAATAAATTGCTTTACATAGCAGATAACTCTGTTTCCTGGCTTCTGCTTATCCTAGCATCAGAAAGATGAAATACCCATTGGCCTATCTGGGATTTGATCCATCCCTGCCAGGTGCATGCAGCTCAGGAGCTGCTCACTTATGGGCAGCCAGCTGTCACTAGCCAAGGACATACCAAATTCAGGCACTTTTAGGAGGCAGAAAATCTCCATACAACAACATTTACACAGTGGAGAAAGGTTTTGTCTAAAGGTAAGTTAAGCAAGCAAGCAAGAAGAAGGGGAAGGGGAAGGAGGAGGAAAACAAGCAGATTCATGCACCAGATTTGAAGAGGAGAGAATTCAAATGCCCTGACTCTTGCACTGCTGGTGTAACTGGCTGGAATGGCTTCAAATGCAAACCCCTCCACCCCTCAAGCTATGAAAACATTTGAGTTGCTGCAAATGCATTCACTATGGGGGAAGGGGATTAGAAGTCTCAGCAGTAGAGGAAAACAATGAATTAAAAGAGAAAAAACTCTGGGGTGATTTGCATTGACTTGTATGTCATGTAAAGGTAAAGGTAAAGGTTCCCCTTGACAATTTTTGTCCAGTCGTGTTCGACTCTAGGGGGCAGTGCTCATCCCCATTTCCAAGCCATAGAGCCAGCATTTTGTCCAAAGACAATCTTCCGTGGTCACATGGCCAGTGCGACTTAGACACAGAACGCTGTTACCTTCCCACTGAGGTGGTCCCTATTTATCTACTTGCATTTGCATGCTTTCGAACCGCTAGGTTGGCGGGAGCTGGGACAAGCGACAGGCGCTCACTCCATCGCGTGGATTTGATCTTATGACTGCTTGGTCTTCTGACCCTGCAGCACAGGCTTCTGCGGTTTAGCCCGCAGCGCCACCACGTCCCTATTGTATGTCATGTACTCAATGCAAAATAATGTGAATCTGACTCTCCCAGTCCAGGAGCATTTCCTGTATTATTTGAACATAGTTACAGCCAAGTCATGCATATATATACAGTACAGCCCCTCCTCCTGATGTCCCGCCTTCCACTCCCCATAGGATGGAACTTTCCCTCCAAACCCATGACAGACAGGTAACATCAGTGCTGTATGTAACAAGAATGA